CCCGGGAGCAAGCATCCGGGACTGAAGGGGGTCCTTTAGTCCCGGGTCAGGAACCGGGACTAAAGGAGGACCTTTAGTCCCGGTGGGTAACACCAACCGGGACTAAAGGTGCCTCCTGACATGCCATGATGGCCGGCACCTTTAGTCCCGGTTGGTAATACGAACCGGGACTAAAAGTTTTTTTCTTTTTTTTCATTTTTTTGTTTTCTTTTCAAAATAGGTTTTCGAAGTCGTATTGTACGCTGCTAATTATACATTTATACGCGCATATAGTATGTTTCGGTTCAAGCACAATGAACGTATTAAATCACATAATTCAAGCATATATATATATATATATATATATATATTTACATGCATGCATGCATATGTGTATTTTACATTATATTATTTCATGTGCATATATTACAAAAGATTGCATTACAGTTGTTGTGACATAACAAGTTTTCTCTCATCCTCTAGCTTGGCTTCAATGGCAGTGTTGGGTGAAGTAGAACTCGCCCTTGGAATCGATGACTTTGCTCATTAAAAATCCGGCTATAGACTCTTGAATTGCTTTGATTTGGTCTTGCCGTATGACCTTTTTTTCTCCAACCATCGAGTCTATAGGTTTGAATTAAAGGAAAATAAATTATAATTATATATATATATATATAAAGACATAGTAACACAATCAATAATAATAATTAAATGAATATATAATGTATTTTTAACGTATTTTGAGTCTCTCTGTAGGAGTTCTTTGGGAGAGCACCTTGATAAACTTGCAAACATAGTAACCCCATGTAGTTGTTCCCCTGTTCTCGCCTTTAGACACCACTTTACGAGAAAAAGATTTGTCATCCAATCTGGTTATCCATTGAAGCTATATGTTTAATTAATAAAGATGATGCGATCTGGGGACTTACTTTCAAAGGGATTACATTCAGTGGCGTTTTGCATTTTTCCATGTGTTGCTTCTCAATAAAGGTTTTCCAAACACCGCCCAATAAAAAATTTGCCACGTCATCGATATAGTTAATCATCATGTTTGTGTGTATATATAGTTGCTAGAGATCCCGAAATTACCTCGGATAATATCTATCATATCTTGGTAGTCTTGTTGTGGTTTTCTCATCGAGTCATAGATTATCAAGTGACTTTTCACCGATTGATGTCCATCAATATCCAATTGATTCTTTGCATGTGTTTATAGGATATAACGCATAACACTCATTAATTAACTAGAATCAACATATGAGTCATTAAGGATATGATCGACATGATTAACACTCACTTGAAGTTATAGGGAAAGAGTATATCCTTCTTGTGGCGTTGGTTCACTAAGAAGTTCATGAGGTTACTCTCTGACTCAGACTTCCAATTAGTCTTTGGAGTAATTGGGTCTTCGAATACTATATAGGGATCAACAAAACCAATTTCATTGCAGCCTTCCTTTCTGAGATCTGTCATTGTAAATCTGCATATATATAGTACTTCTTAGGATAATTTATATGCATATACACATATATGATGAGTTTAATAATAGATCGAAAGAATTATTACTTACTGAGCAATAGCGACTAATGATAACTTTGTCCAGAGAGGTCGGTGGCATAGTTGATGAAATTTCGCAAAGTCAACATACATAACATCATCGCCACGGAACCAATGTTCGTCTCTAATTTCGACACCAACGTTAGAAGTCTCCATTGGTAGGCGCTTTGCATGTACCACTGTTTAGCGTGTACATTTGCGCCCCCAGATCGAGATAAGGCTTGAGGGTTGTATAGACTCGGCCTAGTACAAATTTTTTCTTCCAAATATCAACCTCCGCCGCACTCTCAATGTTTCCATCACCAAACATCCGGTAAAGGTCGAGACCGGTCTCATCAAGAAATTCACCAAGGTGATCCAAATCGACATCCGGAGGTATGTTTGCCTGATGCATTAATGCTAAATTCAAACCATATTCATTACCAACAACTAGCGGGGGGATTGATTGGTGCGCTTGTTGTCCGAGTTGGGCAATGCCTTTCCCTGCCCGCTTCTTTTTCTGTGCCGCCTCAATTGACTTGGTGAGAGTGCGGTCATAGTCTGATAACGTTGATTTGGATGGCTTACGAGATTCCCATTGTTGTTCTTTGGTAAGAAGTCACCTTTTTCTTAGAATATCTGGAGCTACTGAAGAAGTACGGTTTCTCGGGTTTCTCCTTGCTTCTTGATTCATTTTAAGTTTGTCATAGAATCTAGACATGTCTTTTTTATATGCATCAGTTCCTTCTTCCTTCTCTTCAGATATTATTTTGGGAATAGCCCTTGGTTTCACGGTGGCTTTCTTTGCAAAAGGGACCTGGTTCTTCGTTTGAGGGGTTGGCCTCTTGCTAGGCTTCTTGGTAGGCGGGGCGGGGAGGCGTTGGAGACCTCCTTGGAGGTGTTGGCGTGGCGTTGGAGACCTCCTTGGAGGTGGCGGGCTGTGGCGTTGGAGACCTCCTTGGAGATGGTGTAGATGCAGCCTCGTCTTCCAACATAATGTCATCGTCTTGAGCACTATGATGATCTGGCGATTGAACAATTGGATTTAGGTTGGGGAGGATCTGCTACAAAAAAAAAGAAATGACATATTATTATGAGCAGATTGTTAATTATTTAAGCCAATATAAATTAATGATGTAGTGTTTTCATCCCGCACGTACCTATGGTGAGGTAGTTCGGAGGAGGAGGTGGAGCCGACATCCACGGAATGATGATGTAGCGCTTGCACCATAGAATGAATGTCTTCTCCGCTTCTCCTAGAGTCTTCTCGCCATCACCTCCGGGGAATGTCAAGAGGCAAATCACTAAAACCTTTTTCACTTTATCTACCGAGATGGTAGCATATCCTTCTTGGATTATATTCCCATGAATCCTTGGTGTCTTGGTTGGTCGATAGGATTAACAAGACCGATAGCCACCTTGATTGTAGAATTCTCCTTTGAATGTGTAGCTCACACGTTGTACAAGGTTGATGGACGTCATCCACGAGGAAGCTTGATCCTGTGTCCCCTTGATTTGGTATCTCCGTGGAAGCTTGTTGCTTTTCAGCCCGAACAGATTGGCTAATGTTGATTTCTAGCTCTGATGCCTGCTTACTTGCACTCACTGCTATTTGCACTTGCCTTCTGATTTCCTCCTGCATTCTCGCTTCAAGGTTTTTTTCCCGCTCCTGTGCTTCACGCACCGCTTCCTCCAATCTCTGGAGCCGCTCTGCCTCTTCTTCCTTCTTTCTCTGGCGACTTCTGTAAGAAGGTCTGTCCTGAGGGAATCCATGCTCCCACGAGACACTTCCTTTGCCTCTAGTTCGCCACCATGTTCATGATCCCGATGGCGTATGTCAGCTCGTCTTCTCTCTCTGTGGGCTGAAGCGCACCACTAGCTTGATAGCTCTCTGAGCATAAAACAATCTTTTCTGCTGCTTCTTGCGGTCTTGCGCCATAAACGCACTTCCTGCTCTCTCTGGTCTAGTGTTCCCCATGACCGAAAAACCAATTCTTTGCACGTTCTCCCCCACTCGAGTGATTCAGTGCGATACCCTTGGCAAGAAGGTCTGCTTCCATTTTGTTCCACATCTTAATGGCGGGTTGGGTAGCCACCGATCCCAAGGTATGGTGGTATGTCTTACGTTGGGCATTACGTTGGTTCTTTATCACCCGACTCACACCCTCTTCGAAGTCTTGTATTGTACAAACTCATCCCAATAAGGCCTCTGCTTTGAGATCGGACTGGGACGGTAAAATCTGGTGCTATGTTCTTCTTGACATACGTCGTGTATAGGTGTTTCTTCCAAGTCTAAAGCCCGGGTGGCCATCTTCTTCATTGCCCAATCCCTAACTCGCTCCTTCAATTCATCACCATCTATTATATCATCATAACCATCTGTTTTGGGCGTGAAATGTACCAAGACATCATTCTAAATTAACGCCTTGTCACGATCGGAGATAAAACTGATATGAGGAGCATTGGTCTTCTTCTTCCATTCACGGGTACTAATCGGGAGCCGGTCCCGTACATAAGGTAACCACAGTGGTGCACAAATTTCATTTTATTCGGCCTCCCGGTTCTCTGTATCCACATTGAACTCCGAGATGATGAAGCGGCCCTCCAATGGCTTTTTGGGACCTCGAACATTTTTACTCTTCGTTGTAGTTGTTGATGTCGATCCAGAGGGCTACAAAACATAAACATTATTTTTAATGTCATGAGCACACATAAAGACATATGATATATATATAGCTAATAATAAAAATATATACTTGGCCAATCTGTTGTTGCTCATTTTGTTCAAGAGCTGGCATTGACTCCGTCATCCGCATCCTCTTGCACGTTATTTTTAGCACCATCATCGCCCGGCAACTTGAGTGCCAGTGTTGATCAAATTCATCATCAACTCCTCCTCATCCATGTTTCTCGGGTCGGCCATCTAGCTTCAAAAAACAAAACCAATATATAGTACATCAACAGCGCGGTTCGCCCTGGTGTGACGGCCGGGATATAAATGGGGGACCTTTAGTCCCGACTGGTGGCTCCAACCGGGACTAAAAGTAACTTTCCAACCCCGGGCGCAGCCACGGCCCGGGAGTAGACCTTTACTCCCGGTTGGAGCCCCAATCGAGGAGTAGTATACCTTTAGTCGGTTGGTGGCTCCAACCGGGACTAAAGGTCCCCGCCACCTCTCTGGCGCAAGTAGCCGCTATATAGGACCTTTAGTCCCGGTTGGAGACACCAACCGGGACTAAAGGTATTTCTAATCCCGGGCGCAAAAAATTCCGGGACTGGAGCCTATTTTGGTCGAGGATCAAAGGCCTGTTCTCTACTAGTGCACCCGTCCAGTGACGTCGCCTGAACGCCAACCATAGGAAAATCTTGATCCGTAGGGGAGCCCAGGTCTTCCATATGAGCTTGTGTCCGAGAAACGGAGTTGAACCGGCGTGAAGCATGTTATATGCCGATTTCGCCGAGTACGTTCCGTCCTGTGTCCATCGCTAGATGGTCCGATCAGGCGCCTCAGTCAGCTGGTAGTCACGCAGGGTGTTCCAGAGGAAGAGGTACTCATTGATGGCGTCCACAGACATTCCCCCCGTGATGCTTCGTGTCCAGGCTCTGTCGATGAGGCCGTCTCTGACAGTTTGTCTGGTGCGAGTCCTTCTGGGCACCAGTTGGTATAAGCATGGTGCAATGTCGACGACTGCCTCGCCGTTGATCCATCGATCTTCCCAGAAGAGTGCTTGGCGTCCGTCCCCCACACTGATGTAGGTTAAGGCCCTGAAGAAGGCCTGCACTTCAGGCGCGGTTTTGATAGGCAGCTGGCTCCAGGCTCGGTCGCGGTCAATTTTCTGCAGCCATAGCCACTTGTGGTCTGTAGAGCGAACCCGATGAGCTTTAGGTCACTGATTCCCAGCCCTCCGAATTCAGTTGGCTTGCAGACTGTTGGCCACGTGACCATGCACTTCCCTTGAACGGATGCGTCAGAACCTGCCCAAAAGAATTTCCTGCACAGGCTGTCGATCTCCTCCCGTGCCCACGGCGGTAGGTTTTCTGCGATCATGGCATAGATTGGTACAGCACGGAGCACGGACTTGATCCAGACCAGGCGACCACTCCTCGCCATTAGGGCCCCGTGGCATGGCGGCATCTTCCGAGCCACAGCCTCGACCACAGACTGATAATGTGCTTTGGGTATTGATCTGGTACTGAGCGGCAGCCCAAGGTACTTGATGGGGAATGCTTGTACCTGACAGCCGAGGATGGACACAATCTCCTCCAAGCTCTCCTCAGCACCGAAAATAGGCGTGATGGAGCACTTTGCAAGGTTGGTTCTCAAGCCTGACACCGCGCCGAACACATTGAGGATTTCTTTTACCGCCGTGGCCTCCTGCACCGTCGACCGGATGAAGAGAATCACGTCGTCTGCGTACAAGCTGCACTTAAACTTGATCTCGGACGGCTCCATTCGTCGCAAGACTCCATCTCTGGTGGCCTTGAGAAAGAGCCGATACAAGACTTCTATAGCAATAATGAATAACATTGGGGAGAGGGAGTCCCCTTGCCTGACGCCCCTGAGGAGCCTTATGGTTGGTCCATGCTGACCATTCAGAATGATCCTTGACGTGGCCGTACATAGTAATGTTTCAATCCACCGTTGCCACTGCTCTCCAAACCCGTGTGCTTGCAATATCTCCAAGAGGAAAGGCCAAGACAAAGTGTCAAAAGCCTTGGAGATGTCAAGTTTTAGCAGCAGCATAGGGACCTTCTTCTTCCTGATCAACACTGCCGCTCGTTGTACATACTTGTAGTTGTCGTGGATCGAACGTGTTCGGATGAATGCGTTCTGATTTTTGTCCACGATTTCATCCATCCGCGGCGCCAGGCGCAGGGCTAGCAACTTGGAGATAAGCTTCGCGAAGCTGTGGATCATGGTAATGGGGCGGAAGTCTCCTGGACATGAAGCGCCTATTTTCTTTGGTAGCAGGGTGACCAGCGCGCTGTTGAGCTTGCCCATATTCCTGCAGTTCCCATCAGAGAAGGCATGGACGGCAGCCATGATGTCAGGTTGAATAATGTGCCAAGCCGCCTTGTAAAACGCGCCGGTGAAGCCGTCAGGCCCTGGCGCCCGGTCGCTAGGCATTGCCCTGATCGCTGCCCAGACCTCTTCCGCAGAGAATGGCGCTTGCTGTTCTGCGAGGTCGATGGCATGGATTCCCAGCGCTGTGAAGTCCAGCGTAGTTCCGCCGTTCGCCACCGTGCCGAACACGGCGACGAAGTGTTCGTGCAGAGCCATCTCCATTCCTTCGTGGTCCGCCACGACGTGGCCAGTCACGTTCAGCGCGGGGATGTAGTTTCTTCTTCTTCTGCCCCTGGCGATGAGGTGGAAGTAGGCGGTGTTTGCGTCTCCTTCTTTGAGCTGTCGTATGCGAGACCGTTGCCTAGCCATCGTGCGCTCTAAAGAGGCAAGCCCGAGGCATCTCATCTTCATGCGCCGTCTTAGTCCAACCTCATCTTCCGATAGTTCCCGTAGTTCTTGTGCAGCGTCGAGTCGTGAAACGAGCTCGCGCGCCATCAGTAGCTGTGACTTGATGTCACCGATTTTGGTGGCCGACCACCGCTGTAGTTCCCGCACTAGGTTCCGCAGCATTTCGTCGAGGCGGACGAGAGGATCCCCGGTTGTAGATTGCGGCCGCCGTGCCGCTGTCAACACCTCATCGAAATGATCAAACTTGGGCCAAAATGGCTCGAAGTGAAAACGAGCTAGCTTTAGACATTTGACCCAGGTTGGAGCAGTGGTCAGTGTTAGTGTTCATCCCTCCAGCTCGGCCCAATGGCCGAGTTGGGCCTTGACCTCGCGCCCTGATCGGGGACATCCAATCCTACATAGTTGGTAGGGCCTCCGTCGCACTGCCCTATAAAGAGAGGGGGGCATGAGGGGCGTAGCCAGCGACGGGAAGCTCCACTGCCGTCTTCACCGCCGCCTCTGCGCCACCACTGCACTGCGATTGACATCAACACCGTCACCGCGACACTGCCGACCCGGACTGCATCACTTTCGTCATGGCTACGTCGAGCTCTTCCTCCAAGCACGCGGATGGTTGGTGACATCTCACCTCTCTTCCTCTCTCTCTCTATAGATTATGTTATAGAATGAATCTTGTAGCAGGGTCAAAGAAGTCTGAAAGCTTGCTGACGTCGTCTGACATGCGCATATCAAGACCCCAGACGTGCTGCCCAAGATCAGTGCCCTGATCCGAACAGCGTGGAGCAGCCTGATAGCACACCGACGAGACGTAGCAAGATCCGAGCAGCAAGGGAGTCCCCGGCGTCGCTGGCAATGTTCGAGCACCGAGGAGCGAGGAGTCTCCGACGTCGCTGGCGATGTCCGAGCACCGAGGAGCGAGGAGTTCCCGGCGTCGCTGGCGATGTCCGAGCATCAAGGAGCGAGGAGTCCCCGGAGTCGCTGGCGATGACCGAGCATCGAGGAGCGAGGAGTACTCGGCGTAGGCGCCGAGGTCCGAGCATCAAGGAGTCCCCGGCGTAGGCGGCGAGGTCCGAGCACCGAGGAGTCCCCGGCGTAGGCTGCGAGGTCCGAGCACCGAGGAGTCCCCGGCGTAGGCGGCGAGGTCCGAGCATCGAGGAGTCCTCGGCGTAGGCGGCGAGGTCCGAGCACCGAGGAGTCCCCGGCGTAGGCGGCGAGGTCCGAGCACCGAGGAGTTCCCAGCGTAGGCAGCGATGTCCGAGCACCGAGGAGTCCTCGGCGTAGGCAGCGAGGTCCGAGCACCGAGGAGTCCTCGGCGTAGGCGGCGAGGTCCGAGCACCGACGTAGCTGACGACGTCCGTGCGGTGAAGTGTGCCCACTTAGTCCTCGAGCATGAAGAATCCGAGGGCCGAGGAGTAACCGACGTAACTGGCGATGAAGCACAAGCGACGAACATTTCGGGTCGATCGTCGGTCGGGCAGTGAAGTGAACATTGAGCGAAGCGACCGTGAGCGATCCGATCAACTGGTCGGCGACGGAGTCCATGAACCAAGCGGTCTGACCAGTTGATCGGTGGAGAAGCCCGAGCACCAGGTGGTCCGATCACCAAGACGACGATCCTGCAATACAAATATGTAGAACGGGTAGTACACGATGTACAAATAAAGAAACTCAGGAGAAAAATCAGCAATGGTGATGAAACGGCGTATGCAGTTCAGCGATTAGTTGGCGTGAAAATATATTTATGTTTAATATAAACCGCCCGAACAGTTAGTGTGTAGCTGAGTCTTCAGCCCTAGCTAGCCCATAGTCCATAACGTCGAGCGCGGAGCCCGTGCACGTGTAGGACGAACAGGCGTGACCAAGGAGCCGCTGCCGACCACCCATAACGCAGAGCGCGGAGCCCGTAGCACGTGTAGGGAGGAGCCGGAGATAGGGCCGTCTCTGAAGGCGTCCGAGCATCAACGTGACTGTTCGAGGGTTCGAAAAATTGTTTGAAGAGCAAATATGGAGAAAACAGTTCGGAGAAACATTATGACGATATACGGAGATTGAAGAATATTTAGAAGAATATTAAAACGTGACTTAGCTTTAGACAGAAAGTCTGGTCGGTGACGTATGGCGTTATCTGGTCGGTGACGTGGGCAGCTCGCTTGCAGCTCGACGGCGACAAGGGATGTCGGTGAGGGCCACCGAGCGGTGACGACGAGACAACGGCGAGGGGCGTCGGCGAAGGATGTCGGCGAAGGCCGCCGAGCGGTGATGACGAGTCGATGGCGAGAGACGTCGACGAACGATGTCGGCGAAGGCCACCGAGCGGTGACGACGAGTCGACAGCGAGGGACATCGACGAAAGATGTCGGCGAAGGCCGCCGAGTGGTGACTACGAGTCGACGTTGAGGGACATCGGCGAAAGATGTCGGCGAAGGCCGCCGAGGGCAGCGGCGGCGAGTCATCGCCGAGCGGTGACGACGAATCGACGGCGAGGGCTGACGAGAGCATCGGCGGCGAGTTGTTGGTTCCGAGATCGGATCTGCTGTTGCAGGGGCTGGTGTAGCAGCGATGAATCGTCATCGTGGACCGGGATGGATCTCCACGAGATTGACAACGAGAACGCGTTGTTGATTTGAGATCCATCTGGCTCGCCATGGATCAAGCGCACGCCCCTACCTGGCGCGCCAACTGTCGACAGAATATGCTCGGCAGTCCACCGAGGGGTATCCCGCGATGGTAGATTTATCGGTGGGGATGCACGTAATCAGGAACCAGATGGTGACACAAGGCGCAGAGACAGCGATTTAGACAGGTTCGGGCCGTCTGATCGACGTAATACCCTACGTCCTGTGTCTTTGGTGTATTGTATTGAATACATGATGTCGAGTAGAGGACCCCTGCCTCTCCTTATATACTCTGGAGGGGCAGGGTTACACGTAAAGTATCCTATTTGGTACTATACAATGTCTTGCGGTGCACGCCGAGCAGCGCCGTGCACGCCTTGATCTTGTGGGCCGGGCCACCTCCGATGGTGCGGCCCATGTCTTGGGGGCCATACCCCCACACCTACCAAATATAACTGTCTAGAATGCAGCAATCAGTATTGGGAGTTTAGGCAATCTCAAACCAACCGCCGGTCTATCCATGCTCAAGATGCATATCATCATAATAATATGGATCGGCGCTTAAAAAATAAAAGTGTTCATGATCGGCTTGAAAAGCGAGTTGTTGACCAGGACTGGGCTGATTATAGAGAAGAAGACAATGAAAGAAAATATGTTTGGCAGGAAGGCCAATGGCAGGAGGTTTAACAAGAAGCCAGAAGAGAAGGGTGCAACGCCTAAGGAATAAAGAGATGGAACAGGCTCAGGCATCCGGTAAACCTCAAGTATGGCGTACCAAGCAAACAGCCGGTAGAAAGCAACCATCGACTAATATCGAAATGACTTTTCTGTTGCCATCCGAATTCAGAGCTCCGGCAGATCAAGAAGTTTATTTGGATTTCGATGAATCGAAGTATGAGGAGATAGTTACCAAGTTAACGGTTGTACAACAAGCAATATTTGACAAGCCAGTCAAACATCAGCACTTAAAAGCGTTATATATGAAAGGTCTTGTTGATGGGAAGCCAATGAACAAGATGTTGGTGGACGTAGGTGCTTCTATCAATCTTATGCCTTACACTACTTTTCGTAAACTTGGCAAAGGACCAGGAGATCTGATGGAGACTGACATGATGCTTAAGGATTTTGGAGGTAATACGTCTAAGACCCGGGGGGCAATAAACGTCAAACTAACAATTGGGAGCAAGACTCTGCTCACCACATTCTTCGTCATCGATGGAAAAGAGTCGTACAGTTTGCTCCTCGGTCGTGATTGGATTCATGCGAACTGCTGTATACCATCGACCATGCATCAGTGTTTGATTCAATGGCATGGAGATGATGTCGAACTAGTTCGCGCTGATGAGTCCGTGAGCATCGCAACAG